TAGACGACGGTAAGGCACCCCATTGATATGTTGCCAGTGTGTGCCAGGGTATCGCGCGATGGTGAATGAGGAATGATGAAGGGTACGGTGGGACTGTAGACCTGTTACCTTCTGCTAACACGTTATCAGGTGGAGAGTGTCTTGTACTCACGTTATCAGGTCGAGAGCGTATTGTAGTCACTCTCTCTATTCCTGTACTTCATTACGTTTAAGGTGTACGTGTAACGTGCGTGGTCTAAGGCTAGGAGGCTACTACCCACAGTCAGTCAACCAACGTATCTGAACTTACTCCGGCACGGCCTGGAGGTTATCTTATATCAAAGTGAAAGTGAACTTGCTCTCTCTCAACCACGACTCTCTCTCCTCTCTCTGATCTCTCTCCCATGAGATGCAAAACTAGAGAACTTATATAGAATCTAACAAGGCCGTTGGCAAGGGGGCCAGCTAGGAAGCTTCAGCTGGGGTCTATTGCGGGAAACAAGCAGCAGGCAGCAAAACAGCTAAAGAATGTATGTGATAGTGTAGCAAGCAACCTGGAAATGCCATTGATTACTCGCAGCGCGCATCAGTGCTACAAAGGAAGCAGTGGAGCATGAGGCTGATATCGCAGTGCAGATAAGTCCATACAACTGCACAAGGACCTCTTGCAAATGAAGCATAGCGGCACAAGTATTGTATTTTGGAAACAATGAAGACTACTGATAATTAGTGTTGGTCTAGCTACTCTCCAGTGTGTACTGGCGCCATGCAAGGATCATGGAAGAACAATCGTAAATGTAGGAAGTACTGTATGCTTCTAAACAATAAGAGTCATGCAAAATACATGTACTACTAGTCATGTGTAAACTGTAAAGCAGGGATACTACACCCTCCCTTCCTACACTAAATCACGCCCTCGTGATTTGACAGAGAGTTCGGTGATGTATGATGAACAGTACTCACTAGAACTAGAAGGCACCGTCAGTAGGTGGACTGGACAACTAACTTGCATTCACGTACATGTATTCTTGAATCTTGAACAGAGTGCTTGATATTCGGACGAAAGGGTGACAACTGACACTAGTAGGAGTAGTAGAAGTAGTAGCTCGAGCACAGCGGCAGATCATAGGAGGCGGTGTGAACGTCATAGTAGATAGTGTATTACTTGCAGAGCGTCAACCGGAATATGGCAAATAATATCGGAAATGATAACGTTTTTAGAGTAGACAGAAGAACTGAACTGATAAGAAATCAAAATAGAAGCACACCAGGTTCTCACCATCTCACGGGGTCAAAAAGGGAATATTGTCCTCCAAATAGGACCTTAGAAAAACCACAGTTGACTTGCTGCACAACCCTGGCACAACCTGCCAGCCAAATCGCAGTACCAAGCCGAACTGAGTACACAAGGGCATTCTCACACACATTGTTCCAGGTTAGCTAGGTAGACCGTGGCTCACCATGATCGGACGCCTACCGGACTAAACTGGATTCACTCACTCGCATAAAGGAAGACTGAAGAGAACAGAAAGACTGAAGGAAGACAGGAAAGAGAATGCCATATCGGGAATTAGCTTACGTTGGACATGGAGCTTATTCGGTAGAGACGCTGTCCGTCATCTTTTTTAGCTAGGGGGAGACGTGGCGGGCGAAGGAGTAGCGGCGACTGACGCATCAGGTTAGGCCATGCTGGTACCGGTTACACCAATAAACAATTTACCGCTGCCATCAATTCTGTAGCGCCGCTGCCATCAATGCAATACAGATACCAGGATACTAGGTGGGTTCGAATCTAGCAATTATAAAATTGAACCACCGCTGCCACCAATGTAACGTGCGTGGTCTAAGGCTAGGAGGCTACTACCCACAGTCAGTCAACCAACGTATCTGAACTTACTCCGGCACGGCCTGGAGGTTATCTTATATCAAAGTGAAAGTGAACTTGCTCTCTCTCAACCACGACTCTCTCTCCTCTCTCTGATCTCTCTCCCATGAGATGCAAAACTAGAGAACTTATATAGAATCTAACAAGGCCGTTGGCAAGGGGGCCAGCTAGGAAGCTTCAGCTGGGGTCTATTGCGGGAAACAAGCAGCAGGCAGCAAAACAGCTAAAGAATGTATGTGATAGTGTAGCAAGCAACCTGGAAATGCCATTGATTACTCGCAGCGCGCATCAGTGCTACAAAGGAAGCAGTGGAGCATGAGGCTGATATCGCAGTGCAGATAAGTCCATACAACTGCACAAGGACCTCTTGCAAATGAAGCATAGCGGCACAAGTATTGTATTTTGGAAACAATGAAGACTACTGATAATTAGTGTTGGTCTAGCTACTCTCCAGTGTGTACTGGCGCCATGCAAGGATCATGGAAGAACAATCGTAAATGTAGGAAGTACTGTATGCTTCTAAACAATAAGAGTCATGCAAAATACATGTACTACTAGTCATGTGTAAACTGTAAAGCAGGGATACTACATACGTATAACTTCTCAAAAAAAAATTAATGGTCCACAGTCGTGTCGGAAGGGTACGGTGGGACTGTAGACATGTTACCTTCTAACACGTTATCAGGTGGAGAGTGTCTCATACTCACGTTATCACTATATCAGGTCGAGAGCGTATTGCAGTCACTCTCTCTATTCCTGTACTTCATTACGTTTCAGGTGTACGTATAACTTTTCCAAAAAATATAATGGTTCACGTCTTCAGATAGAGAGCGTATTGCACCCACTGTCTAGTCTCTGTAGTGCATTGAGATTTTGTTGATCGAACATGAAATGGATACACAGACAAAGCCAGGCCAAGTACATGGCGAGATGTCGCCAGAAGAACGTCTCCAGGTAGAGAGCGTATTGCACCCACAGTCTAGTCGATTTTGTGGATCGCACATGAAATGGATACACAGACAAAGCAGGCCAAGTACATGAGAGAGTGGACGATGTGCAGATCGACACGGCCTGCGGGTACTTCATTCTTTTTCTTCTTGCTGTTGCTGCTGTCCCCGCAGAGGCTGTTTGTTGTTGCTGTGTGCGTGTGTATGTGGGTGTGCATGTGACTGAGGTGTGTTAGGGGTGGGAGCACGTATGGTGTGGCTGCACACAGGAGTGAGAAAGAGAGTAAAAAAGAAAACTAGGATAAAAGTTAATCACTGCAAAAACATTGCCAAGTATGTGAGCACTTTGGACTTGACAGAAGAGTGCACGGGCGACGTTGACAAAACATACCGCCGTGACTGTCACTATCATGACAGCAGGGCACATCGCACGCAGCATCGCAGATCGTGTCGAATTGCGCATCATAATATTGCAAAATTGCTCCTGTGCATGCAAGTGGATTTCATTGCACTTCTCAGTTTGCGAAATGCTCGATTATGACAATTCTCCGTGTGAGTGCACTAGCCCTGAACAGACATGTAGGTGAACCGTTTGTGGTGTCTCATAGCCTACCTCACGACCTTCTGCTTTCTTTCTTCATCACTTGTATCTTGCAGGTATATCATCCCGTGACGACCACATTGAAGTCTGAATTTGAAGAGTGAAGATGCTTCAGCAACCACATCGTACTTTTCCATTGCTTTCATTGTGCTTCTACTTTGCATGTGTGTAACTTGTGGGGTAAACATGTGATGACATTGTATGCTGGCGACTAGGCCTTGGCGGATAATGCCGGCAGAAAAATTGGCAGAATTCGGTACTTTTTCTGGTAAGTTTCATGCATGTTTGGTAAGTGGATAAAGAAATGGAGCAGAATTTGAGGAATTGCCCGCCATAAGGTTTGTATGGTTCTGCCAATTTCGGTGCAAAAAAAGCAGAATCTGCCACCTTTTCGAGCATTATCCGCCAAGGCCTACTGGCGACACGGTCAGATGTTCATGCGTCTAACGTACACCTGCATGTTATGCATTGAAAAGGGTTTGCCACTTGCGATCCTGGGACGAGTATCAGGTCCGCTTTGTCCTGTGTGGGCTGTATCAGATTGCTGTTCACTTCTCTATCTGTTGGATATGTGACTTTCTGCAAGTTTCTGCTGTATGATGGCCACGTCCTTGCTTGTCACTTTGTATGATATTACATTCTGTATTCGCTGCTTCCATGGCATGGTCTGCAAACTGCAATCCTTGGGCAAATGTCATGTTTGCTATGTTGTGCTTTGGCCGTCAGCTTGTCTACACACTGTAGTTGAATTATTTTTGTTTCACAACTGACTTCCTCAAGTACGGTGGCCACTGCTTTGCATGGCATTATACATGAAGAATTTCCTGTTTGTGCCGTGTGCATGTGCGTATGTGTGCGTGGCCACGTGTGTGTGCCGTGTGCATACACATGTTTGTGTATCTGTGTGCGGGGTAGCGAGGCGGGGAGGGCTGGTATGTATCAGTGTGTTATTGCAGTCGCATGGCTACATACAGTACATCGCACGCGTGGTCATCATGTTTACCTTCGGGGTGGGGGTGGGGAGGGAACGGAAAAAGAGCTGAAATTATCCATATAAAAATCGCTCTGTGAGCGGTTTTGAAAAACCTTTACTGGTACTGCCCCGTCGTAAAAGTAAGAAATTAGAACTGGCCCATTGTTCCCCCAAATGCGAACTGATCAACCTAAATCGCGAATGACGGGACCCGAACGCACCAGTAGCACGAGGTTCCTACCTGTGGATGCAGATGGGGACGTTGGTCCGGACCATAGGCCATGTACTGTACTAGCGGTAGGCTTCCCTATCAAAATAATAAATTCTACTACTACTACTGGTGTTACCCTATGATAATTAATTGCCGTGATCCTGTGCTCTCGGCCTCCCGACCTCGTGCTACTGGTGCGTTCGGGTCCCGTCATTCGCGATTTAGGTTGATCAGTTCGCATTTGGGGGAACAATGGGCCAGTTCTAATTTCTTACTTTTACGACGGGGCAGTACCAGTAAAGGTTTTTCAAAACCGCTCACAGAGCGATTTTTATATGGATAATTTAGAAAAGCGATCCTGTCAGCTTTTCTATTACTTTCACATGGCGCTACCTAACGACACCGCTATTCAGACACGTTGTCTACGTGGCTACGTAAGTTTCTACGTAAGATGCTCGGTACCTGGTCCTGCAGGGAGGCCGGAGCTACTCCATGGCTCCTACCATCGCGCGGCTGGATGGCCGCATGCGTGTGCATTGCAGACTTTTTGTTGTTGCCTTTTCGGATGTGCATGCACCTGTGCACGAGGAACTTCCTTCTTTGGAACTGCTTCTTGCATGAGCTGCTTCGGATATTTCGTCTCCTGGCCTGGCTTATTTCGTTTCGGTGCTGCTGAGACCTCCTTTCGCGGAATATTACTCAATGACAGGTGAGTTGACCAGTTCCCTTTGATTCATTTGCTTGTGTTGACTCTTTCATTTACGAAAAGTGTGCTGATTTTGGGCGGAATGCAATAAATAATGGAAAAGCTGACAGGATCTCCTTTCTAAATTTAGCTTTTCCGCTGCCGAGGCCTCCTTTTACGGCATACTCATACTTATGCTCACCCTTTCATTTACGGAAACGTGTGCTGATTTTATTCGGATTTAGATCCATTTTTATCTCTTTGCCCTTGCCTACAGTGTGCGAAGAACGCGAGTTCCCCTTCTCGACGGTAAGGCTTATGTTAGATGTGTTGTCAAAATACACATATTCATTGCACATTAGTACGTTACAAGTAAGGCACTGGTCAGTGGCATACTATCGTTGGCAGTTCCCAATCTGGAGGGAAAGGTTCAAGGACTCATTGACCGAGTTTGCCAAATAAATTCACATATCAGGGAAAATCTCCATTGTGGAGAGGTTCAGTAACTTGTTTGCTTCATACGAAACAAGCCAATGGGTGCAGTGTCGTCTCGTGAAAATCTCGTACTTGTATGATGGCATTTGTTTACTCGAGTCTGGGCTGTTTGAGTGAGTACTGCCGAGATTGCACTGCCCCAAATAAAGTTTCGTGCCGCCAAAGCAAGAATTACGATCCGCAATCTGTTTGTAGTACCAAGAGTACATAACCCCCCGTACTCTTGGTAGTACCTGTAGTACCTGCAAGAATGTGCAGTACATGTATCGTACTTTCTCTGTTGCTGTTTCAGTTGCCGTCATGTTGCTAAGTTCTGCAAAACGAAAATTCGAACGAAGTTTCGCGACAGTTCTTGCAAAAGTGTGTACGAATTTTTGCACGAACTTTGCGTTCTGCACATTTTCGTAGTTTGCGCGGGCCAAGTGCACGTACGCCATGACCCGATCTCACGAAATTTCCTACAACAGTTCATTTCGCGTTCCCTGCAAGTTTCGCGTCCAAAGTTGCGAAGTTTCGCACTTCATGATGTAGAGCGAAAGTTTGTACGCATTTTCGTTTTGCAGAACCTCTCTAGTAACTCTTTTGTTTCATACGAGACGAGTCAATGAGTCGGTGTGGCTTAGAATCTTTCGCTGTAGAAGAAATCTATTCGTATGTCTATTGGAGAAATAATTGTATTCACTGGTTATAAAATAGGTTAAGACAAACTCACAGAATAAATACCATCGGTCCCTTGGTGTTTGTCCTAAAGAGGTTCGACTGGATATCATTCATACTCACCAAAAGATGTGTAAGATTTTATTATCATGGAGTGCCTTGTTTATCTCTCAGTATCAGTACCTCCAACCATAGCCTTGACCCTTTTATCCTCAGGATCAGTGTAGTTGTTAGAACGAGGTGTCGGACTCAGCAATGTATTTGTTTACATTTTAATACATGTTTATTGTTCCTCCTTTGCTGTGTTTTAGAAAATCGTGGACTAACAGTTTGAAGTCATTGAACTACTTCCAAGAGTTGTATCGACATCAACAGGAATACGATTTCAGTGCAATATGATGCTGGATGACCTTATCACGATAACCCATGATTATAAACCATTATAAACACAGAATCAACAAAAACATCTGCGACACGCACCTGGCGCATGGCTACATTTCTTAAATGAATCTGATCGAGGGTGGGGAAATCTGAAATATCTGAAAGGCAAGACAAATTTATAGCAGAGTCATGAAATTCTGCAACAGCAACATGCACAGAATGACCTCCGTATAAAAAAAGTATCACCACCTGACTACTCACATGTTTCCCCGCAGAAGAACATGCATTATGCTAGTGCCATTTTCTGCAAGAAAAGGCTTGCACATCAATGCGTATAATCAAGAGTACATAACCCCCATTATGTACTCTTGGTATAATACGGTATTGATATGATCAAGAGTACATAAACCTCTTGATATCATGTGATGTGAAAGCCATCATTAACATACTAGTATTTAGAAAAGCGATCCTGTCAGCTTTGCTATTAGGGAGGTTCTGCTCTACGTTTTGGGAACGCGACGCAAAGAATCACGCGAACTTTCTTCGCGTTCCCGTAACGTAAAGAAATCCTGTTCTGCATGCTCTACGTTTCACCTAGAGAAGTCACGTGGAATGTGTACTGGGAATTTCCCCTTCCATATTTGGCAGTTTTCTGCATGCAGTTGATCGATATCCAGCAAATCCGTACGCATTTTCTCTGCGTGTGCCACAACGTAAAGAACCCCATCTCCGCGTAGAAATCTGGAGCCAAAACACGCGAAGCCGTAGACTCTAACCCAGACACCTGCTCTCTACGTGATTTCTCTACGTTTCACGTATAGCAGAACCTCCCTATTAGGGAGGTTCTGCTCTACGTTTTGGGAATGCGTATGATGTCCATGCAACAAAAATGCGTGCAAGATAGTCATTGACCTCGTCACGGTCTATTCTCCGTACCGTATGCACCACAGTCTCATTTTCCGCCAAAGTAGGAGTTGTGCCCTGTTTGTATGTGTGACCACACACACACGTGGTTTCGCTGGAGCGACACCAGGCTCGCTGCCGCCGAACCTCGTCGCCGAAGCGAATCCCAGTGCATGTGTGACCGGGCCCTGAGTTGTACCCTGCAGGCACGGTGACCAGCTGACTGGTGTACGCAGGAGCACGTGACCGCTTGTTCAACCATGTTCGATTGGGAATATAGGAGGAGCGCTCCATCGCAGCCTTTTCAGACCAAAACCAGTCGACTAAGCGTCCAAAAGACTACAACATATGGGCCAATCGCGGTCATCCGTGCTTTTATAAGAACGACATAGTACTTTTAGTGAGATTTTGCATACAAATCCCCATCTAGTAGGGCGCAGTCACCCAGTTTCGGTGGAAGTGCGCGAGTTCGATTGGGATTCAAGTAGGAAGGGAGCGTCTCAGCTTTCTCGGACCAAGACCATTCGACTCAGCACCCCGAAGACTACAACTGGTAAAATTTTAATTTTTGCCTTAACTTCCCCTTTAAAACTGTCTTTGACGCCATCAGAATATCTATGCAAACACGGCCTAACGGACAAAGTCAAACAAGCCGTGACCTGATGTTGACACAGCCTGGTCAGTATGGAGCTTGCATGTCGAGTCTGCAGTTAAGGAATTCATACCTCAAAAGTTGAAGCGAAATAACCTGAACAACAAACTGTGGTACATGTATAATGCGGGAAAATCAATAAATTTAAAAAATGTCACGTTCGGAAATTTTATTGGGTGGTCATCCCGTTTGACTGTGCGAAGTAAAATTAAAACAACCAAATGGTTGGGTTGATCTGCACTGTGCAACCGATTCTCTCACCTTTCTTCCTCCAGCTATGCCTGTGACACCCTTTTATTTGTGAATCTGCGAAACACTAGTGGCAGGCCACGCGAAAATGAGAATGCGCGCAGCCAAGTTTAGGCCATCATCTCCTTCATCCATCATCCCGGCGGTAACTTCGCCCGTTCAATATCCAACACCAGTCCCCAGGAAAGAATAAGGCACGAGATTTCAAGTTCAAGGGCAAAGCTAAAGCCAATGGCACTGATTTTTGGAATTGTCGAGTAGAACGAAAATAAATAATCGAAGGCGATCATAATGACGGTCAGATTCGACACACAAGTGACACAGTTTGGGTCGCGCTCGTGTGTCGCGCTTCGCATTTGCTGCAGCTCGAGCGCGCCCAAGATGAGTCTCGCGAGCGCGACAGGCTAGCCGCTTGCGACAAAAGTTGTCTTTTTTTTACGAATTCTGTGACGTCATGTTTTGGAAGAATGTCCCAACAGTCATTCGCGTAGATCTACATGATCTGCCGCCACGAAACTAACTTTTATGCTACACGTCGATCCAAAGCAGGGAGTCGTAGACCCAGGTGCTCGAAGTCCGTACATGGTATCCTAAGTAAGTCTTTGTGGTCCACTTCACAACAATAACACACACAGAAGTCTCTGCTGTGAGCACGGTGGCTCGGCAATGGCGAAGTCCGTACATGGTATCCTAAGTAAGTTCGTACGCCCATAATTTCATGTTCTGTTATTGTATTCGACTCAAATATTTTATCGAGGGGACAGTGTGGTATGTTCTCCTCGCGTAGCAATTTTCAGGGATCTACGATAAGCAGAAGTCCCATACCACGCGAATGGGTTTTCGAGTGCCCATACGAAATACAAATTGGGTTACATTTCATGCAAAAATCAACTTTGCCAAGACCGATTTCGAACGGACACAGCGTCAAACAGACCTTCACTCAATCATCAAGAGCCAGCTTAGAGCTGACAATGGCCAGAGGAGAAGAATTTACAGAGAACCACCAATTCTTGCAGAAAGGTTGACACTCCTGGCATCTCCACCACTGTTTTCCCGCGGTTTTCACAGCGCAGCTGCTTCTTCTCTGAGCCGACTAAAACAGCTTGCAGTTCGGCAACAAACTACGCTTTTGCAAGAAATACTGGTGGAGGCACATGCCAAACATATCCCTTCGGTGCTTTCGTCGTAACCGAGGGATTGCAAGTTAGCAATTAGCAGAAATATGTGTGTATTTCGAGTCACCTCTGATCAGTACGGACTTAGAGTACCCTCCGCGACACAAAAATTTGATATGAAAAATCAGCGAACTCCAGAGAAACAGATCGGATCGAAAGATGGCCTGGTTCAATCGAGCCTGGCCTCAGAACAAACTTGGACAAGATACCTTCCATCCACGAGCAGGATTCTGGCAAGTGATCATTGCTAGTGTGAGTTTCAGCTCGACAAACACACACTGTAAAAGTGTACGGACTTCGAGTACCTGGGTCTACGACTCCCTGATCCAAAGTCAAAGAGTTTGCAGTGCAGTGCTGATCATGGTGATTTACGGTTTGCTCTTGCTCAGACTTTTTCGGTCTGCGTAGCGAGCCATTCGATCGATAGGGACGGTCTGGGTTCCGGGAATCTCTGGTGGCCAGGTGATCAATTAATAGTTGGGACATTATTTCGTAAGCTTCGAGGTCGTGGCAAGCAGTTCTGGAAGAGGAAGACAAGAGTGATTGGTTCAAGCTGTGGCCCTGTGGGCAGGCTTTGTGCTCCGCCTCTGCATGGCACAATGCCGGACAGTGTGAAATACAACATCAAGTACTTATTTGCAAATTTGGATGCGTCCACAATCTTGGAAGATCTACTGGAGAGTGATGTTCTGGACGAAGAGGAATATATTGGCGCACCTGCCAAGGAGGACAAGTTCAAGCTGGCAGAGTATGTGGTGAGGCTGATGCTGAAGAAAACGGACGAACAGGTGGAGACGCTCCTGAATCTGATTCAACGCAGCCAGCCTCATGTAGCGGAACATGTCGCCAGTACCATGGCGAAGCGCCGCGGTGCAACTGCCAGTGGGGATACTGACCATCCGGCGAAGCCAATGTCGGCAGACTGTGAGTCAACACGTGGCTCGTCCTCCGGTAAGTGTTTACATAGAAGATGATCCATACTGTTTTGCAAACATAGCGACTCACTGTCGGTAATCATCTAGTTTAGGGTCCCAAATTATTTCGCACTTTCCCAGTGTTCTGTGTACTTTCTATGTACTTTCTGTGTACGTGAGAGCGTGTCAACCCCAGAAATTTGCAAATCGAGATCAAAAACACAGTAGCTGTTGATATGGATTTTTTTCATCAGAACCGATCAGACAGGGCCTGTGTTGTACTGTACTGCTGATGAATGCTGCGGAGCAGGGAGCCGAAGGTGTTTCGTTCCTCTCGAACTCTTTGCCTCCACACGAAGTCGCAGAGGTAGGTTGGAAACAACTCGCGAGACGTGCCGAAGTTGCGTTTGAGCTGGCGCTTCGCACGCATCCACATATTCTCGACATTGTTGGTATGGATGCTTCGATCATCCGGATCAACAAAGTGGTCACATGAACACGCACACGCAGTCACGCACTGCACCTAATACCACTCGGCTACGCATTACAATTACCACAAAGTCAAAGGAACCAACTCTAAGGACACAAAACTTCGAAACACACTCAACCACGCTCTCAAGTACACAGAAAGTACACAGAACACTGGGAAAGTGCGAAATAATTTGGGACCCTAAACTAGATGATTACCTCACTGTGAGTGCGTTCGATTATGCCCGCGAATGGATTCATGAATCCGTTCCGTTCATGAATCCGTTCGATTATGCTCGCGAATGGATTCATGAATCCGTTCATGAATCCGTTCGATTATGCCCGCGAATCGATTCATGAATCCGTTCATGAAACATCACCCCATGTGAATAGGGCAGGGATCGATTTATCCGGATTCGCATCGCAGTTTGCGAATCAAAATTCACTGGCTGCGATTCGCTTTTCGTTTTTTATCGCCCAAAACTGCGATGCACTACAAAGACCAGTTGTGTGCAGTCTACATGCGACTGTTGTACACACTGCTGATTAGGGAGTAGTATTTTACTACTCCAACCAACTGGCCTGTCCTGCTCCGGGTCGCGGACTCGCGGATCACACGCTCTTTCGATTTTGGACACTGCACTAGCACTGGTCGTACATGAGTCATGACTGCAGTCTTCTGAAGTTTTGTACACGGCGGTGACTTTTCATGATGTTCTCCTTTCTTCTTTCACTGTCAAGCTCAGTTTTTTAGGCTGTTCGACAAGGCACAGTTGAAGTAGATGGTTCTTAGTCTCATGTAGCCAACATGTCAGTGAATCTGATCAATGATTCACTGTCCAGAAGAGGGACAAAGAACTGGACGCGCCAGGAATGTCGATTCGTTTCGATGAAGAAAAGGAGAAAAGCGAAATTCGATGCGCTTTGCACGAAATGTCACGATCGTTTGAGCGCTTTCCTGAGGTTTCTTTGTCGAAGGAATCAGTGGAACTGCCCTGTTGAAAGACATTGTGTTGTGAAGAACTCGAAGACGGATGGACGCTGAACATGTAACGTGCCCAAGCGAAAACTCTAACGTAAATATTCAGGTCGAACATTCGCTTGGAAAAGCAAATAGCAACTGCAGCTATTGTCCTCTTCTGTACGAAATCCTGCTATTGTACAGCTATACATGTAAACTTTTGATGAAGGAAAACTGCTAATCAATACTGGGAGGTGCTAGTCAATTGTAAAACTGTGTAGCAGTGACTGCTATGCAAAAAAATCAAAGTAAATCGATCCCTGTAGGGTGAATGGATTCCGAATCGATTGAAAATCTGGAATCGATTCCGAATCCATTCACCCTATTCACATGGGGTGATGTGAATAGCGCTAGTTGAGATTCGAGGGCATAATCAAACGCACTCGCTGTTTCAGACAAATTGAGTAGATTAAGCATGACAATATCCTATGTTCTGTACACTGTCAAGGAACGTATTACAACCTGATCTTCACTGCATCTGCACACGGGTGTGTCTACCAGCAAACCCTTTACACACAGTAGCCAACACAAAATCATATCCATAATCAGTATGTGCAGACGGCAGTGAGGGATTGCTTGTCCCTTCAAAAAGATCTCTACATCAACGTGATCCGGTTAATGAGAGTGTACACAGGCACTTAGCTAACAATAAAGGTGTGAGGTCATGTACATGTATAACAGTTGGTGAACACATTCAACAGCATGGTGTACCGTATGCGGGTGTAGAGCCGTATTAGCTTCACGCCCCATTGCGTTGTGGTGCAGAAAGGGTGGTGGGCAAAGTCTGTGGCGAGTTCTTAGCTTCTGTTCACGTCGCTCTGATCCCTAAATATGTATATGCATGTAGCCAGTAGCTGCTGCAGCAATCACCTTGAACACCAGCCTAGAGCAACGTGGGTCACATCAGTTATCACACAATGCAGTTGCACGTGCTGCCTCTCAGTTGGCTGTTCCTATGACAACAGCCTTGCGACGTGGAAGGCATAACGAGAGAGCTTGGAAGCTCAGGGCCCTACGCTATGCTTTTTTGCCTTCATGACCTAGACAAAAAAAAGCATAGGGATGTTATAAATTCTTTAAAAAATTCCTTTTTTTAAAAGACATAACCTGGGATTCGAACCCGCACTATCGCGCGCCCTGCATGCATCCCCCAATACACTTCGCATACATACTAATTCTTCCAAGTTGCTTAGGGAGGGCCCAAATATGCTCAAAAATTTCGCATATTATGCTTTTCGCATATTGGCCACTTGCTTCAAAATATGCTTCGAAATTACACAAAAGCAGAAAAATGTGCTGGAAATATGCTGGAAATATGCTCGAAATACGAACTGATATCAGTGATAATTATGCGAATTTTTTGCTCCTTGTAGCAAAATATGCTACATTTGGTACAATATGCTAGATTTCCTACTTTATGCGATCTTGAGTCACAGACACTCTCTTCTCGGGTCAAATCTTCGCCTCGTGTTTGGATGAGCATTTTTCCTTCTGGGCTAAGTTTGGAAGTGTTCCCTGACCGAGCGTGCCGTGGTACGTTTCCTTGTCCATTTCCGCAATCTGCCCCATAATTATGCGAATTCTTTGCTCCTTGTAGCAAAATATGCTACATTTGGTACAATATGCTAGATTTGCTACTTTATGCGACCTTGCATCAAAGGACCAAAATATGCGAAAATATGCGCAAGCATATTCGGGCCCTCCCTAAAGTTGCTTCACGTTATGATCTTGCATTTGAAAGCCCTATTTGAATATGCATTGTGGCCAGCCGTCTTTGATGGTACGGTACGGGATAGGTACGGGGCAGGTACGATCGAGGGTAATACGACACCGTCTACCGCCTTGATGACGGCAAAAAAAGCATAGGGATGTTATAAATTTTTCAATTCTCCTATTTTTTTTTCAGGCATATCCTGAGATTCGAACCCGCACTATCGCCCTGCATGCATTCCCCCATACACTTCGCATTCATACCCATTCTTCCAAGTTGCTTCACGTTATGATCTTGTGTTTGAAAGCCCTATTTGAATATTGCGGCCAGCTGTATGTGGCCAGCTGTGTTTGATGGTACGGTACGGTACGGACAGATACGGGATAGCGCCAGGCGTGACACAAACAAACAAACAAACATACAAATACCAAATTAAAGCTGTGTGGACCCTGGCTAGCGCCAGACGTTACTGAAGTAACGTCTTCTGCATAGCTACGGGAATAATACCTCCTGGTACAGGTAACATCTACATGAACAGTAACCAGTATAGCGTTATGTTTGTACCTTGACCGTATACAGCTAGACATTACACAGACTGTATACTGCTACACAGTACAACAACTATTAGACTGTTACAGAGTACTAACAATAGGAGGACAGAGAAAGTGTTTGACTCCGAGTTTCACGCACTAAGCGATCATCAGAAAACAGTTTTCTGATGATCGCTTAGTGTATGAAACTCGGAGGGAAACACTTTCTCTGTCCTCTTATTGTTTGAACCAGCTCTGCCTCTCGGTATTGAGCACTCTCTTGGACAGCCTGGAACCTCTTTGTGTTACAGAGTACTACACGGACCGCATGAGAGAGGTCTCATCCAAATATTTTTGTAATAATAGTATGAATTTTAATTAACTACTGTGCCTTTTGTTGTGCCAGGAGATGTTGATGTGTCGGGAGTTGTCCGTCCAAAAACTGGCAAAAATGAGCAGTTCCAGCACAGCTACAGAAACATGGGCGTAAAGCTAAAAGCAGGCAAGAATGTGTTGCAAAGCGCTTGACTTGAAGGCGGCCAGTTTGGTGATGCCTCGGATATCCGCATGGAGGGAATTCCAGAGAACTGCACCAGCATGTGTCACCAATTTGGTAGAATGTGCAGAAGCAGCGGCAGGGAACAAGGTTGCGGTTTATGGCGTTATAGGGCCTTTACACTCCAGTTTGTTTAGAGACTCGCTTATCCCCTCTCCCCTGACTCACTTGTGAGGTCTGCATTGGACAGAGGATATATGGGCGAAGTGGTGGCCCGCCGATGCGAATGTATTATTTTGCTTGATGTGTTCCTCAACACACCAGGTGATGCAGCCGTGAATCCGGCTAAATTTACTTTCTTTTTACTGCCAACAGGCCAGGTCTTTTGACTGAGAACCCCAGGAAAGCTGGATTAGGGCTGTTATACAATCTCAGGAAGAGATACAGCTTGGCGGGATACTGTGTTACTCCACCCGAATATTCACAAGTAATTCATAAGCACACGTGTATACAGGTATACAGGTATTTTATTTATTCCACATCCCATAGCATGTAGTTTCCAATCAAAGAGGAGGGGGTGGAAGCCAACCACGGGTGAGAAACGTAAAGAATTATAATAGAAAGGAAAGGTGTATGCGTTCACAGTACACTGCTCTGGTACGGCGACTGGTGCATGTATCACTACGGGATCATGTTTGATTGGGAATAGGAACCGTACACTGTTCAGCAAGCCTGCTCAGACCAAGACCATACAAGTTAGAGTACAGAATGCTACAGGTTCTGAGATTTTATTCTGTTCACGAGCTTCTATAAATATGAAGAGGTGTTTTCTTTGGAAATATCCACACAAGTCACTATCTACTAATATGATGTAGTAGAGAGCACTCTTCCAACATTGGGGAAAGTGTATTACGGTGCTAGTTCAACTGGGAATATAGAAAAAAGGGAGCACCTCGGTTTCCTCGGCCAGGTGACCGATACCATCTGGCACAGAATACTACATGTGGTAACATTTTGATTCCAGAACGTACATCCTCTTAGAGAGAGAGAGAGAGAGAGACAGAGACAGAGAGAGACAGAGAGAGAGAGAGAGAGAGAGAGAGAGAGAGAGAGAGAGAGAGAGAGAGAGAGAGAGAGAGAGAGAGAGAGAGACAGAGAGAGAGACAGAGAGAGAGAGAGAGAGAGAGAGAGAGAGAGAGAGAGAGAGAGAGAGAGAGAGAGAGAGAGACAGACAGAGGGAGAGGGAGAGAGACAGAGGGAGAGAGACAGAGGGAGAGAGAGAGAGAGAGAGAGACAGACAGACAGACAGACAGACAGAGACAGAGAGAGAAAGAGGGGGAGAGAGAAAGTTACATTTATAAAGACAGGTAAGTCTAACAAATGAGGACTGAGACCTCTACAACAGGGTTTTTACGCCTGAAAGCAGGTGCATGATTTAACAAGCAGGTTGTCAGTCTAGATTTTATGCGCAGATGGAGAAAAAGCGCAGAATTTTTGTAATGAGATGAAAAGCAGAAATAATAAGAAATAATAAGAAAAGATGAAATGAAAGCCTGCTCACAACCCCGCCAAGCCTTGCGAACTGGGTATGGTGGATTAAGAACCCGGTTCAACGCTCGAGCAAGCGCTCTCCACTCAAGGTGTTCACAGCAACTGATAGGAACTCATATGGGGAAATTATAGAAAAGAAATAATAAGATAAAGAGAATAAATTTCAACGCACCTCAATAAACGGAGCCCCACATACAGTACCTCAGAAAAGTGGATCTTCCGACCAGTGTTTTTGTTGACGTCGCAACCAGATGATGTAGCTGCTTCGCAGAGACGTCTTACTGCACAAATTACAAATAAATTTTATTCTTCGATTAGAAAACCCAAGCGCTTTCAGAGCCCTCCGAAGAGAGTCCGGGATGAAACCACGCACACCTACCTCAACCGAAAAAGAAACGACCTGCCACCCGTTTGCTCGGCATTGATCGGCCAGATCCGCATACCGCCTGTCCTTCCGCGAGTTACTGACACTGAATCTGTCCTCAGCACAAACTGTCAACTCCATCCAGAATACAATCCTACGACTCGTAGAGTACAGAACTATATCTGGTCTTAGGGTGGTAAGTGCAACACAGCTAGGGAAAGAAATCTTTGCACTAACTGAGTCGACAAGAAGTTTCCAGTCTGAGGCCACCGACAGGAGATCAGTCGTAGAGAGAGAGAGAGAGAGAGAGAGAGAGAGAGAGAGAGAGAGAGAGAGAGAGAGAGAGAGAGAGAGAGAGAGAGAGAGAGAGAGAGAGAGAGAGAGAGAGAGAGAGAGAGAGAGAGAGAGAGAGAGAGAGAGAGAGAGAGAGAGAGAGAGAGAGAGAGTTGTGGCCAGCTTATCATCCCTACTAGTATGTGTTAGTTATCCCAAGACCATTGGCACAAAGTATATAAGCGCCTCTTGGTCATTCCCCTGAAGCGTACCTCAAACCCAAAGCACAGAGAAATCAGTGTGGCAGAGCCCTCAGGTCCGGTATAGTAAAAGTAGAAAGACTTGAGAAACAATAAGTAAAACTAGGGCTGCAACGGGTAGGGGTTTGCTCAGGTAACGGGTTCGGGTATTTCTAATTTTCTATCCGGGTAGTACGGGTACCCTGTCGGGTATTTTTGACATACCGGTAGTTTGTACAGTGAGTGTGCACTTGCTCTACATAGAAAGTGCGTAGCTGTGCTGTGTACATGTACGTTTTCCAAAACACCGTACTCCAACTACCCGATCGGGGTCTCGGGTGCAAACTGCTACCCGAATACCCGCTCTAATTACAAGTAGCACGGGTACCCTACTACCCGATGAAACCCCGGAGTAAAATTTAAAAGAAAGAAACTGCAAAGGCCAAACCCGGCTAAATCGGACAATTTTGCTTGAGCGGCGGCGCAATTCCTATAAGCAAAGCCTATTCAAGTCCTTGCACGAGCTGAAGTCTAAAGAGAGCTAGCTGCGCATAGGAGGGTCGAGCAGACAGCAGCACACAGAAAAGGATTAGAGGCCAACACAAGTAAGCGGCACACTGGAATGCAGAAAGTCAAAATGAAACAAGCCAGTCAGAAAGACAATGAGACAACTGAGACAAATTCTCAGATACTAGTAGTGGATGTGAGTTCTGTTTTTAATGAAGAGTCCACTGAGGCAACACATTGAAGAGCGCCAACAAGAGGTTGACTTATAGTGTTCAAAAGGAAAGGAAATAGAAGTGGACCAATGTCATGAAGATGGGTAAACATTTTGGTAGAGGCATGTGACAGTTTGGCTATACTGCATGCGATAGTGAATGCGCAGAGAGTGAAATACTGGCGAGAAGTACTATCTATACAGGGTCATGTCAGATTAATACTCATACAGACTGTACATTCATCGTAGTTGTGTTCACTTCCTTTTGTCTTGGTAGGTAATACCATGACAACGACTGGGCAACAGAAAACACAACCATCAGTCCACACAGAGGTCCACACAGAGGAAAGAGTGCTGGTTTGCAAGGGTGCTGGATAAACAAGTGCCGGATTAGAGAGGGACGAATGTATGAGCAAAGGTCTAGTAAAAAAGAGAGTTCAAAAATGATGAGAGGTGCATGAACTTTGTATACAGGGTCACGACAGATTTCTACTCGTACAGACTCTACATTCACTGTAGTTCTGTTCTCTACTTGTTATCTTGGTAGATGCTACCATGACAACGGCTGGACAACAGAAAACACAACAATCAGTCCACACAGAGGGAGGTAGTGAGACTGGTCAACAACTGTCCTCCAGCAGACATACAGCAACAGACAAACAAGCAACATCAGCTTTAGCAACAACCAGTGCAACTAGTATGGGTACAACAAGGAGTACTGGACTAACTACAGCTCAGGTTTCAAAAACATCATCACATTCAAGCAACTCATCTCTACCAGACCTGGACGAACACTTCACTGGCAGGGATGACATTGTTACAGAGATCAGTCGCAACATTCTCACAACAATGTCCAAGTCATCATCTACACGAGTGCAGAGTCTTGCGGCACCAGCTGGTTTTGGGAAGACGTCCGTAGCCATTGCTGTGGGACATGTATGTCGCAATGCTGGTTGTCGTGTGGAGTTCTTTGACTTACGCGGTGTAGCTGGTGTTGACGCTGTCCAGGCAATGATTCAAAACCGACTCGAAACAAACCCAGCTTCGTCTGAAACTTGCGGTATGACAACGAAATCAACTGATGGCAGGGATGATGATGGTGGCAAACACCACATGTTATGTATCCTAGACAATGCCGAAGATGCTATCCATGCTGGTGCTGATAAAGATCTCCAACTACAAGATGTCATCCAGCGACTACTACGACAACAACACAATGTCCACATCCTACTGACAAGTCGTGTATACTTTGACCTACACGCTGCCCAGTTTAAACTACAACAACACCGTCTTGTTAGTCTGACAAAAGTTTGTGCTGTTGATCTTCTCCATGGTCTATGTGTTGAAGGTAGTGTGAGCATTGAAGATGCGCAGAGGTTGGTGGATCATTGTGGATATGTCCCACTTGCTGTGCGCATTACAGCTGGTCTTCTACAAGGCGGTCGATTAACTCCCGCAATGTTGCTGTCGTTGTTCAAGAAGATTGGCCTAGATGTGTTTAACGACGATGTTCTGAAACCGAATCATCGAATTCTGCAGCTGTTGAAAATAGCATACAACACATTACGTCAGACTGACAAGGAGTCATTCCATGCTCTCTCTCAACTGCGCTCCTCCTTCTCATCTAAATGTGCTTGTACAATGGTGGGTTTTGTTGGTGATGATGCTACTGTGGTTCATCTTCTGCGTTTTGATCCGTTGATCAAGATTTGTTTCCTGGATTACAATTCGTATTTGGATCGCTACTCTTTGCAACCATTCATCGCCGAGTTTGGCCGTTACCAATGCCCTGAAGACAAGCAATGCATGTACCAACAGCGAATGTGCAAGCATTTCCTTGGCTTTGTAAAGAATGTTGATTATCGTAGAGGTTGTGGTGCAGAGAAAGCAATGTACTGGAGTCACCAACTGCTTCAGGAAATCGGGAACATCGAGAATGCAATGTCAGTTGTTGATCTATTGCCCGATGATGAACTTCTTCCTTTCTCTAGATTAGCGACATGTTCTGGTTTGTTTGTGGCTGTGTTTGGGAGAACAACACTTGTTGCAGCGTTTGGAGACAGGTTTCGACGATTGCACAAGGCACCGCTATCCGTTCAAGTATTAGTTGACAGCCTCTGCACCTCGGTCCTGTGTAGGATTACCAGTGCCGGTAAAGCAGCAGGTTCTGACATCAATTTTGATGATTTGGATCTCGAAGCCCAAAAGCTTCTGTAGAGATGTAAGCAGGAACAAACAGGAGAGCAGTCACAGCTGCAGCTGGCATTGATTCAACTTTCTCTGGAGTCATGCCGGACATCCATACGTCGGGTTATGAACTGCTTTGAAGGAAAATCTGAGCTCAGCCATGAAACACTATCCCGTCTTCAGGTAGTGTACCAGCGTCTTACAACAACACTGAGAATGGGTCTTGCAACAGGTGTCCCTGAATGTGCCCTGAAACTCATTCAACTGTATTGTTCCACTCTGCTCAACAAGGATATTCCCAATGTACAGGTTGTAGAAGACCTTGCAGAGAGAGTAATCTCATCACGCTTCCTATCACAGGATGGTGCAGTCGATTCATGTGCTACAATGTACTACTTTCTGCAACAGTACATTGTTGTGATCCTGGGCAAGGTCATGTCAAGTTCCTGTAGCAGTGAGTGGATTATTTCACCATCATTGATTACAACACTGGGTATACCACTGTGCGAATTGAAACATGTACCAACTGCTGTCAGTCGCTCGGTCAATGCCATTGACGACTATACCACTATGGCAGATTTACAGATACAACGGTACCTGCACTCCATGGATAATGACACAGTGTCCACACTACTGGTCATGTACATGGGTGGTATGTACAACATCCTGTACATATCCTTGGTAGTATATGGAAGGGCATCCGCAACTCCAATGGGTCTCACTCTACCAGCACAGCATCCCTACAACATTGTGAAGGACTATGTCAGGAGATGGTGTCATTGCTCAAATCCAGCAGATCACACAACAGCACTGATTAACAACTGTAGCCAGAACAAGGTACCTGATGTGGAAGTGATGCAGTCTTGTATACTGACGGCTAGAGCAATGCAGAAGTTCGAGGTAAGCTGATAGTGCAGCGTTATCCTTACCCTAGTTCTCATCCACACTCAACACTCCATTCTGAAAGAACCCAGTGTACTGCAAACCAGTGTACTCAGTAATGATCTACTGTATAGTGTCTGTCTCACTGAACCTCATTACTTGCTGAACACACAGGAGAATGTGAAAACTTCTAAGACATGGTAACTATGGAAATGGAACGTGTTGTTTTCTGCTATATCAGCCTGATTTGTATTTATTGTGTATGATGTTGCCTGTTTCAAGTGTACTGAATTCAGTTACATTCTTTTCAACACTGTTCTGTGTTGTGTGCTTTGCTGTAGAATACGTTCGTAGTACCTGTCGATAGTTCCAAACTCTTCCCAGCACTGAAGTCATTGGTTAATGATCTCAGTGCTTGCCTGCCAAGAAATTGTGCAACTGGTCTCTCAGTTTCTGGAATTGTGTACTTACCACCACCTGCTGTGGACGATTCTGTGCTATACATCTCTCTCACTGCTGCCCTACATCATCAATCCAAGAGAGGCCAAGTGAGCATTGATCATCACATTGCACTACGGGAATGGTGTCCACGTGTAGCAGCATGTTTTGTCTGCTATGACCTGGACAACATCACAGCATGTCCTCGTTGTGGCATGGCTTACCTGTGTGGCAAACATCGTCAAACTGATGAACACCTAAGTGAACACAACCAACACTGTGCTATGCTGGCAGCACTCAGACGCATACTACAGTAAGTTAGATTGTCAGTATCGGCTCACATGACAGATTGTGAGTGCTGTGTGATGAACTGGTGTGTACTTAGTGCCTTGTTATCATGAGAAAATTACTGCTGAGTCTGTGTGTAAACGTTTCTGTGTGGGGTGGGGCGGGGGAGGGATGTGTGTGTGTGTGTGTGCGCATATGTGTATGAGTGCGTGCGTGCGTGTGTGTGCGTGTGTGTGTGTTGGGGGAGGCTGGTGTGTGTCTGCGGGGGGGGGGGGGGGGGGGGGAGTGTCGGGGAGGTGGGGGGGGAGTGTCGGGGAGGTGGGGGGGGGGGGGGGGGAGGGGTGCGGGGAGGGGGTGGTTAGAGGGGGGGGGGGGAACCTCTGATCATCCGTAATATCATCATACTGTATTTTCGAACCGCGTTCATATTATGGGCGCTCATGTGAGTGTGTGTGAGTGAGTGTGTGTGTGTATGTGTGTGTGTGTGTGTGCGTGTGTGTGTGTGTGTGTGTGTGTTGCGTGGGTTAGCTGCTGTTTGGCTCCCTCTTGCCGGCCCGTCCTGCCTGTGGCCCTCGGAAGAGGTACCGTGACGGCGTGGGAGCGGATGTTCGATACCTCAACCTGGGCGATGAGGCATGGTTTGACCTGGCACAGGAGCGCAGTGAATGGGAAGGGGCGTACTAAAACGTTACTTCATCCGGACCACGCCCACTACCACCATGTGCGGTTCGTGGCCGGTCACGGTCAAAGAGTGGTATGGACCGACACATGGGCAAAGAGGAGCGCAGCTAGCCGATCGCAGATCAGATTGGGAGCAGGACATTCCCGGCGTGTAAGAGATGGTTCAGGAGCACCGGAGGCCTCGCTGTCCATAAGTGTTGACCCGACGACGATCGCTCCACGTGCCCAGTGGCTGGCCATTCATTTTCTGCGCCCAACTCGGTTTCGGCAGTACCGGTGCCGGCAAAGACTCACCTATCACTACCCTGCTGTCAGGCTCATTGCAGCGCATGTGGCAGGTGCTGCCCATCAAAGAGGGATTTCCAACAACTCCACAGCTGCGCAAAGTATAACAGAACTCTCGTTGGCCGCTAGCCTGCAGAGCGTGCTGCGTACCGTATTCAACCAACCTACCCCATGTCTGTCGGCCCCCGTACGAGAGGATATGTGACCGTCTTACGGCAATGTTCAGGACAGGACAGGTGTGTGTGCGTGTGTGAGTGTGTGTGTGTGTGTGTGTGTGCACGTTTGTATGGGGGGGGGGGGGGGGGCTGGACTTGTACTAGTAGTGCTTTCAGTATTACGAGTGAACTATCGCAGAGTCCATGGCAGGACCAACAGTAGAGGGAGGGGGTGGGGGGGGGGGGGGGTACTCGCACAAGACCTTTGATTTTCAGTAGGATCCCACACAGTATATTCGTACTGTTGAAACAATGCCCTGACAGGACAGGTGTGAGTCTGCCAGTGAGTTGATGTGTTGGAGCACACGTGTGCGCACACGCACTGTTGTGTGTGTGTGTGTGGGGGGGGGGGGGTTGTTTGTATGGGCACTTGTGTTGGTGATATCATTTGTGGGGCGAATGCGCACTTGCTCACCTCCCAGCCTATCTCCCTGGCCAGTCGGGGAGCTGGTCGTATTTACTCAACATACCCTGCTGCCACTCAGATTGGTCTTGCACAGTGTCAACCTGTGACTAGTCAACCGTGTTGATTTGTCACAGGTCAACCCTAATTGCATTGTGCTATCATTACTGCTGCTACATGCCGGGCATGACGGCCGAGCAATGAACCAGTTCAGCAGCAAGCTTGCAGTCGCCAGTGCTCCAAGTATCACCGATGGTTTCGGGGTGTGTGCGGCTGGCATTGCAGTTCATCACTGTACCCAGTCCAGTTCTGTCTCTAATGATGTTGATGTCGGGAGCTCTGTACCTGTATGTTCATGTGTCCGGAAACCATGCTGTACGGCGGCACACTATGCCGTTTTTGAACTTTGCTGCAAATTGATCCAGGGATTTTTTTCTCCACAACCGTGTGACCGGTCCACCAAGCGCCCAACTGCCGATGAAAGAGACACGTTCCAACTACAATGCCGAAATTGCCAGAAGTTATTTAAAAGGCGAAGCCACTTATCCCGTCACAAACACCCACGCCTCTTCTCGTCTTCGTCTCGTGCAATGAGAAACTCGGGAACTGCATGGTTGTGTATACCAGGATTAGCGACCCGGAGTGTGTGTGTGTGTGCGTGTGTGTGTGTGTGTGTGTGTGTGTGTGTGCGTGTGTGCGTGTGTGTGTGTGTGCCTGTTTCTTTGCGAGATTGTGGGTTGTGTGTATGTGTGTGGGACGAGAAAAAGAGGGGGGGGGGGCATTAGTGGGAAAAATATAATTTTTTTATAATTATGGAATCCCATACCTTGTGCCCACAATTTTCATATTACAAATTTTTTCTTTGGCTCACCATGTGCGTTCTAAACATAAAAATAGTGGAATATATCGGGAAAAAATTCCCTTGCAGGGAATGTCGTCGCAAGTTCTGTAGTATGTGTGCAACGTGTCGGTCGCCTGTTTGACAGCTTCATGTTATCCATAATGTGTACAGTTGCCTGTAGATAACAGGCATGATGTCACAATGACCTCATTCATTAGCACCAATCCATGCAATCTATACGACCAATTCTATGCCCAGGGCTTCGAGCAAATGGGTGTGTCTGCCTGCGTGTGTGTGTTTTGGTATGTGTGCGTGTTTGGGTGCGTGTGTGTGTGGTGGTGGTGTGTGTGTGTGGTGATGGTGCGTGTGCATGTGTATGTGCACTCTCGCCGTTGTACATTCTACAGGGCTAGGTGAGCTTCTGAAGGTCTCTACTGGATAGTGTTTAGCAGTTGAGATTGGTGAAAGTGACCAGCACTGGACAGGGATCGTTTCAAGCAGCTACTGCAGTAAGAGATACTCCAACAGCACACTACCTGTCATTGATCACAACACTGTGACATCACTTGTATAGACATGATGTATACAGATTGTCTATGACACACAGTGTTGTGTTACTATGTAGATATAATGATCAACTGAACTACATGTACTGTCTAGTCCAGTCTACTACAGTATCAGTTTTACTGAAAGTTAGCGCATACGGTGTAGGCTCCATTGCCAAACAGAGTCTCTTGCGCACTCGCTGCAAGTATTCGAAGTCCACAGTTCCTGATTTCCGTTCTTGTTGTGTCTGCACTTACAGTGGATTTCTTTCTCAACCCACACACTCACCCATCCACCCATCTATTCCACTTTTGTGATCATGACCGTTATTTGTTCATATTGAAGAAAGTTGAGACTTGACTTTTCACACAGTCATGTGTATGTATGTACCAGTACCTGCCTACACATGTGTTCATGCATAACTACCAGATATTGATATGATGAATGCTTGCTAACACTGTGCAGCTCCCCAAGCTAAAACCAAGGCATGTGCCTACAATCTAGCAGCATGCATCCATCTGCATTGTGCAGAAGTGTTAACTATATTTTTCCGTTCAGCTTGCAGTGTCCCTCGTTCTCTGGCTCTTGCACAGATGCTGCCATTTTGTTTGTCCCCGGGCCCACCTCGCAGCAATATTTGTAACGCTGCGACACTCGTGTCGGAGCCTCAGCCAACCATTTTGACTTTTGTCGGTTATTTGTTACGCATACTGGAAATCAAGAATAGAATGATATTATGACCAGCTCGCATATTACTCCTGAGAATTGAGCTCTACGCATCAGTTAGTGACAAGGTTCCATTCGCCAAAAATGTTGTATGCGTAAATTTTGTACATTTTCACCTAAAACCCACTCACATGCAAAATATTCAGGAGCAAACTGCTACCTTACTACCCGCTCTAATTACGTGTAACACCCGTACCCTAGTACCCGAAGACTGCCCGAAGACTCCCCTATTTAAAAAAATTCAAGTTTGTGCGCCTCCTAGGCATACAAAATATTCCCGATTCACTCATACAGTGTTTTTGTCTTGATGTGTGCTCATTCATTTTAGTTCTCAACCAGGGAGTCGTAAAATACCGGTAATTTAGGACTCTCTGTTTTTAACAAATTTGGAAGGGCAGTCGTCCGTAGCCAGCCTATTGCATATCCTTGCTGTCAGTAGACCGAACATCTTTACATCTATGAAACCCGACCGCTTCAGTTGAGTACAGTGCTGTTCAAAGAAATCCAATCATGCGAGGCACGTACGTACCAGGCATTGCACAGCCCTAGTCCTAGACCTGCGAACACTGGGATGTTTACTGGTGCACGGCGCAAAGTTGACTCCCTGAATTGTATTTCAGTGAGCAGTACATGTCCTAGTACTGTACATGCCAGTACAGGGCATTGTGCAGCTCCAGACCAAACCTGTGTGAACACTGCGCTGAGCACAGGTGCAGGGCGCTATGCAGCTCAACGCCTGTGTGAACACTGCCCTGCGCACATGTGCAGGGCGTTGGCTTGAATCACACAACCAATTTAATTTTCATTGAGAAGCAGAATTGTACATCCACTTCACCCGGCCGAGTAAACCCTTGGCACAGGTAAACAGTAAACACGGTTCAGGTCGGTGCACAGCAGGTAATCATGGCAACTGTGGTTGCATTATGGTACAAGAACAACTAGAGCAGCAAGACTAGGACAAGCTGAGAACCAAGACCATTCAAAGCAGGCTAGGACAAGCTGAGAACAAAGACCATTCACAGCAAGGCTCGGACAAGCTGAGAACAAAGACCATTCAGCTGCAATGCATAACAACTGTATCAAGCATCAAGCACAACAACACTGTGCTTACTGACTGGTTGTAAGAGTTTGTGTGTGAACGCTGTTCAACACGGTAGTCTCATCTGCAGCTCACAAACATACTGATTCACAGGATACTTGAAAAATAGGAGAAAATGATGTAAGTTTACTTTTTTTTAGGACGGATGGATGAGTGAAAGCCTGCATTCAGCTCGCTCTGCTGCGAGAATGGGAAAAGGTGATGAAAACAATAAAAAACAGCGTAGCGGCAGGTCACGGTATTTACTCCTGTAGAGCATACAGACCCGAGGCTGCCACACTATAATCAGTGTGACATCCGCGCTTCCACGTACAGTATGTATAAACACATAAACACGTTCACACGCACGCGCGCGCGCACACACACACACACACAGCACATACATGCCCACACACACACACATACACACACAGCACACCTACATACAGATATGCAATGATCAAGTACAGGACACGAAAAACAAACATACTCGTAAACCGGGAGCATAACGGGTGAAAACCGAACAACATCAAGCAAGCAAGCAAGGAAGTACTAATACAACACACCTATTTATAATATATCCACTTGCAAGGACCCTTGTACAATATACCGTGACCAGTGTTCTTGATGGCAATCTATCTGCTACTTTGCTGTACAGAAGATGCGGATGGGCCGCTCTCTGTATTGTTTTGATTACTGTGACATCTTCGTGCCAACGAGACTGACGGCGGCAGCAAGCCTGGTCTTGCTCAAAACTACTGCTTCTCATACCGATCAGGCTTTTTCTTGACCTAGAGAGACACACACACAAACGTGCACAACCACGCACATACATCCACACGCAAACACACACACACACACACACACACACACACACACACACACAGTTGTGTTTATCAGACACTGAAAAGAGTCGAGAATGGACATGTCAGAAACACAATGAGTATCGGTAAACACTAGCTTCTAAAGTGATATGCATAATACCGCTTCTGCAATGCTATGGGCACCGAGTGATATTCTGCTTCCCATCGTGTGAAGGGTCTGTCGCGAAAACTGATGCACAATGCACGGAACATTGCAGCAAAATTCCTGCATTACACACACAGTCCCAAACCGCACGCAGCCCAGAACTCTCGAGTCACTAGCACCTGCCAGTTCAGAAAGTGATGTGCGTCGCTCGTCACTTATCAAGGAAGAAGTTGGGCTTGGCTCAACTCCTCAAGAAGCGGCCTGCCGCGGAGCTGTACTATCCATTGATGCAAAATATTTAGCAAAACCGTCCATTATGATGCTATCAGCTTGCAGGCAATTGAAATGCACAGCGTAAATTTGCTGCCATGATTAGATAATCAAATTGACAGGGGTTAACCTTGCGACTCGCCTCCTTGTCCACATTCCTCTTTGAGTCTTTGAAGGTATAATTATAGCCCTTGTTGGATGCTTTTGGCACATGGGCGTGGCCCACAAATCCACGATCACCCTATTTCAGCGCTTGTACACTGAGCAAAGCAAAGCAAAGCACACATCCAAACATCAGAATTGAATGTAGCATTATGCTGCATTTTACAATGATGTTATGTTTTCTCACAAAGAACAAGAGAGAGACGGGGGGGGGGGGGGCTTCCTCACAAGTTGAAATCTATCATTTATCAGTGTTCACCGATAGTTAGCTACACTGCTGAATACTAGTATACAGGCATGTACAGTATGGCTCAATAAACTCAGATCAACTGAGTCACATACTTGGTGCCGGGCGCTATGCAGCCCTAAACCTGTATACACTGCAAGGGTAACACTGCTACCACCGCAATACCTTGTTGTGGATATAATCACGAGGTGGTTTTTTTCACTTCGTTTAGATCATCAACTTGTCCTGCGGCTGTCCCGGATGATATCTAAGATGGATGTTTTCTCCCCAAGACTTGACGAACATGGCCCCAGCGCCCCCCCCCCCCCCCCTAATCCCTCTATTTTCAGAGGAACCACCCCAACCCCCGCAAGTAAATTGTACTGCAGGTGGCTGACCGTGCCAACCTTTCAACGCTCCTGACACTGCTTCACATGAACGGTAGAAATGTTGGGAGAAGAATGCAAATGTTTGGCGAAACATGTGTAGGGAAAGTTCAAATCCTTGAAGAAAGGTGCACATCTTTATGCCCCTCGCCCACCCTCCAAACTTTCTCCTGAACTCTCTACATTTCCCATATTCTCCTTCCGTCTTTGTGAACGTACCCGACACAACTAGACGTAAACGTTCCGTGCTTATTTGGTCAGTCACACCACTCACTGCATGAATCAACCGTACACGCTGCCCCTTTCCGTTCTGGACCAGGTCGTTGGTGATAACATGTCTTCCAGCGTGGCATTTTCCACCTGTCCTTGTTTTCACTATCATCACTCATTGCTGGAACGGTTCTGGATACTGAGCGGTGATGAACTCGTCAGGCAAGCTGGCTATCATGATGCTGCCTTTGTACGGCTGCCAGGTTAGGTTGGAGATATCGGCCGTTCCCTTCACCAACACCGTCGTTGTTACGGCAGCTCGTTGTTGTAAGCCTCTACTCGTAACGAACACTATTCTGACCAGTCACTCACACTCACACTATCCCGGTATGTTCCAGTGCGCACGGCACAGATGTGATGACTTTGTTGCCAGCCATCTGATCAGTCTGGCATCCATGTCCACCATTACCGTTGCTATCATCATGGGGTGGTCAGCCAGTTGCAAACCTACCTCCAGTTGACCAAGACCATAGCAAACAGCCTCGGAGTTGATGTTGAACATTCACACACGTCTGGATTTGTTTGAATGGGTTTTCCAAGCTGTCAATCTGTGCTTGGTTTGGCTCACCCCCAGCCAGCCAGTGATCTACTTCGGACTTCGTCGTATCATGACCTGTACTTGCATCCACGGTCATCCGAAACCCACCATCACCAATCGCCGTGTTAGTATAGCCGAGTTTATTAATGATGTCGAAAAATCATTCGGTTGTCAGTTGACAAACCCCCTTTATTTACAATGCAGTTGCGCGATGTCCACCACTTTCTGTACATAATCTAAGAGTCCTAAAACAGCCACTGACTTCCAACTACCAAGGGAAAGCAAGCCCAAGCGCAGGAGAACCGTGCGCGCGGGTACGTGACATATAATATCGAAGTAGAGCTGGCAGGCAGGGCATGATCAGGGGTTCAGGTCCTGCCTGTAAGCGCTCTGATTGGCTCAAACCCTGGCAACAATCACGTGGCATGCCTGAAAGGACAAGTAGTTGCGATTTATGCTAAAGTTCAAACTGACGAAACACGTGCAGCGCTACACCGTGAAACATGTGGAAACAAAAAGATGTAGAGGAGACACGGGATAGCAGACATGCACTCAGGGTCTAACTGATAAGTGTGTAACATGAATGCATGCAGTATATGGAGACAAAACAAAGACACCGAACTCAGTACGTAACAAGTACTACACACTTAACTCGTACATGTGAATGTCACGACACCATATGAATTAGCTCTTACATCCCACTTATGTTTCAGTCAGTAAGAGTACACATGCGTACTTACGTTGACTCCATTTTATCTGACTTGTCCAACGCCATCGTTGTGAGCCTTCGACACTTGGGAATACACAGGACAGATAAGATAGCGGCGAGAGCATCTCCACGCTCTGTGAACACAGCTCAGACGCCATGCTTCATGATTGTGTGTCCATGGAATACAAGGACACAATAGACTTAGTGAAGCTAACGAAATGGATGACCAGACGACGGCCTGAGTGTTCTCCTTCCTCGATGAAAACTGGCAGCCACCATATACCATGCTTGATGTTTCAAGCACCATCGGCGCAGGCCACGTTTTTCGGCACCGACGATTTGTTCGTCCACCAACAGTCGAAACAAATGTTTCTCACTTGAACACTCGTAGAGCTGCCGCTGTTGTGCCAAGGCCCATTGGCGCATGGTGTGTACACTCCAAATCTACATGTATGATGATGGGTCACTGCTGACGTTTGTGCTCTTGGACAGGGCAACGCTGCATGAAGATAAGTAGTTGTGGCTCCACAATCGCTGAGAACGCTAGTACGCGTCCATGGAATACTAAAACACAATAGGCGTGGCGCAGCTAACGCCCACTTGGATGAAACGGACGACAGTGGTGGCGAGTGCGTCCTCCTTCCTCGGTTAACACTGCTGGTCACCCTGTTTGATGATCCACCAAACACCATCGGTGCAGGTCGCGTTTTTCGGAACCAGCGATTTGTTCGTCCACCAACAATTGAAATATTAAGGTTTCGCACTTGAACACTCTGTAGAGCTGTCGCTGTCGTGACAAGGCCGTGTATACTCCATATCTACATGTAGGATGAAGAGTAACAGGTACTGCTGATAATGAAGTTTGCACTCGTGGACAATACAACGCTGTGTGAAGTAAATTGTGGCTCCACATTCGCTCAGAATGCTGATGTGTGTCCATGGAATACTAAAACACAATAGGCGCGGTGCAGCTAACGCCCAACGTGGATGAAACGGACAACAGCAGCGGTTAGAGCGTTCTCCTTCCTCGGTGAACACTGCTACAAGACATTATGCTTGATGATGCACCAAACACCATCGTTGGGAGCCAAGTTTTCCGGCACCAGCGAGTTGTTCGTCCAGCAACTAACTTTGAGTCTTTCTTCAACACTTCGTAGAGCAGCCGCGCAAGGCCTTTCCTTCGCGTTAGGGTAGCGACTAGCGATCGCCATTCATTTTTACTACAATGGCACTCCACTCCAGTCCAGTACTGGACCAGTAGTGTTTCTCCGAAAATAAAGTCAGCTGCCATTACTGGCATTAGCCGGCATTACTGAGTACAGAGTCAGTAGATCTACTCTCACAACAGTCAGCAGACAGTAGCAGGCCGCTAGCTATATACTAATATAGGTAGCTTAGCTGGACTTGTAAAAATTAATTTTAATTAATTTTTAAAATTATTTTGCAAGTCTTCAATCATTCATGTTTGCTGCTATCCTGTATCCAGCCATATCCATGTAGCGTGAACAGATTGCTTGACGTGAAAGGACTTACAAACTTTAGGGTTCACGGATTGGCATGCTACACGGCTGTTTTTTTGCGCGATTTTGGCCCATTTAATATGGCGGCCGAGAACGCGTAAAAATTCATGATTTTCGTCCAGGAATTGCTTTAGACAGCTAAGTATTCCACAGACTTCGCCACTTTTCGTCTCCAATCAGCTTGGTTTGCCCTGAGTTTTCGATTTTTCGGCTTTGCCTTTCCCTCAGCTCCGCGTACATGCCGCGCGACCACTGCTTCGATTTGTTTCCTTGTCTCTGGAGGACGTTTGTTTTCCTCTCCTGGGACGTTCGTCGTGCAGAATTTGAGCCAACGTTTGTGCCCCAAATAGTATCCCCAGATTTGAGTATCGTTTAGATAATTTGGAATCGGGTAGGTAAGTGTCCGTTCTGGTGCTGTAGAAAATTTCGTTCCGTGACGTGCATCAATTCCGTGTGACTTGCGTTTGCAATATTCCCAAACTTTTGGTATTTCCCACACTTACTGGATCGTAACTGCAATTGTGTTACTCTCCAGTTGTTGTGAGGACGTAGGGTGATCATGGATGAGCATAAATCGCTACTGCAAGAAGTCTGCCGAGTCGGTGGTAGAAAGTTTTCCTGTTTCAAGCAGTCTACCAGATATAGTGTGGAAAAATATAGTGATCTGCTGAAATATGTACATGGCAATGATATCTCGAAAGATTGCTCAGACATCCACCCACCATACATCTGTATTCTGTGCGAGCGAGCCCTAAAGAGAGCCAGTAGAAAGGCAGAACATTGTGAGGGTGGCTGTGGACCTGTCACCAAAATAGGAGCCACACCATCGCACAAACTGCTCTGTGTGTGCAAGCCAGAAAAAAGGGGCGCAAGCGCGCACCATGCAAAACCGAAAACAGCATTGCGAGGTGCCGCACTCCTGGCAGCACCCAGCCACCAGAGCGATGATGGATCACCTACACACTCAGCCACCAGCAGTGTAAGTGGTCTAGATATCAGTGCAGAATGCATACAATCAAGAGCAGCACGACAACATCGTGCAACACTGCCGCTTGACAGGGACAGATTTTTAGATAGAAATGCGGTGCAAATTTACATCATTTGTCAGAATACCGCAGACGGTATGCTGGAAACAGCATGCTGCAATGATCCGAGTTGTGCAGAGTGCATAAGCGAATGGCTCAGCACGAATAACACATGCAAGTCTTGCAGCAGCGCTGACATGGCTGCATCATCGATGCGTACGCCCAGCATTAGTCTAACCAGGCTTGTCAGCAGCCAGTCCATACACTGCGACTTCCACGAGCCATTGCTACTTGGATGTCCTGAAGTCGTGCCGCTGCATGACTTGCAACGTCATGTCAACATGTGCCCGTTCAATCCCGCAGAGACGCCATCATGCAGCACAGCACGTAGCCCGCCGCCAAGCACGACACCTATCCGCTCAAGGCGCCCATCGTCAACAGTGGCTGAGGTTCTAAGTGCTTCTCCGTCGAAGTTGAAGGGCAATGTGGCAACCAACCTCACTGCACGTCTGGTCACGGCTAGGGCAGAGGGTGGCAGGCTGGAGGTGAAAACTGGCGAGGGAGGCAGGGGCAAACCGCAAGTTTACCAGCTAACACCAGAGTGCAGTGTACCGTCAACCGATGCGTCTGCCTCAACACTCAAACGCCGCGCTGCTGAGCTGACCCGAATTGCAGAGTCCGTTTGTGGTGGATCGGATGGAGCTCGAGTGCAAATGATTGCTGGGCTGAAGCGGCTCTCATCAGCTGCACAGGAGGAGCTCTTGCAGGAAGCTGGCTTGAAGTGTAGCTCACCTTCACCTGGCACCGCGCTGGCCATCAAGGCAGACCTCCGACTGCCATGGAGCCAATTGAGGAAGCTGCGGCAGTGGCTCAAGGTCTTCAGGGTAAAGTTGGAGTCTGAGCGTTCTATACGAGAGTTCATCGCGAAGACGCTGCCCAGCTACACCGCTACAGAGCTGCCGATGTCGAAGCGGAATGGCGATGTCTCCATGGCTGCCACTGTATTTTTTTCAGACCTTGTCGCTGTTGTCATGCACTTCCTCGACATCCTCAATGAGAGTGACAGCTTGACATGGCATTCAGGCACGGCAGCAGTTACGAAGACCCAGCAACACACTTCGACTGTCGACGCCTTGAAGGACGAAATTGCCAAGCTATGCCGCAGTAAGGACTTCAGTGGCCCATGCGTAGCCTCTGTGGAGCCTGTTCTCCAACACCACAAGATTGAACGTCAAGTGTACCACGGTGGTGCTTTCATCGGCAATCACGTCCACCAAGCCTTGAAGCCCACCGTGGTCACTGCCATCAGCCATGCTCACGTACCAGTCATCACGTCCAGGTGTCCAGTCCTGGCGGAGGAGGCCCAAACAATAGCATCTTTACACGAGAATCTGATGAACAGCTACGCTTCTTGTCGAGCTATCTTCAGTCACAGCCAGGCAGTTTGTGCAGACGAGATGGATCAGCTGGAGTCTGAAGTTCGGAGTTTCTTGAGTATGTGCAGACGACACGTTGTGGCACGGCGACTTGGAAACATCACGCCGAAACTTCACCTGTTAGAGAATTATACGGTGCCGCTCATCAGGAAACTTGGCGTTGGTCTGGGCCTGCTCGCGGAGCAAGGGGCAGAGAGCTTGCACGCCAGTGTCAACACCCTCAACGCCATCTATAAAAACATACCAGGAGACCTCGCCAGGCTGAAAGTTGTCGCCGAGCAGCATCTGCTAACAACCACCAAAGAAGCCAGTACGCTGGCTCCTCGTCCACAGAACAGGAAAGCCGAGGGCCAAGGTTCAGTCTCCTCGTAAACAGGTAAGAAGACAGCGTGGTGACAGGAATGTCTGTCTTCGTGTTTGTATTTCCAACGCTCCAAAGAAAAACATTTGGAGCACTAAAATCATGCTCCTCTTTCAAATTTTCAAACGATCTTCGACTGTTTGCGTTTTTTGTGTTTTCATTTGTGTTTTCATACTGAAAACCAACTTGGTTTTGTTACTATTCACAAGAATTTACCGATTCGCATCGAGTTTACAAAACTTCTCTAAAACCCGGTGGAACGACGCCATATTGTAATCTGGTCAGCCGCGGACAGCCGTGGCTAGCGTCGCCAGCTACATCATGCACGTGACAGGCGCGTGCATATACTGTCCCACACAATCGATCGGTCAGTGCTCAAATCGCATTTTCCCATCAATATCACTCACTTTCAACTCTACGGGATTCATTACGGTTGGCTCAAACTGCCTGAATTTTTGAATCCACACGCACGAAAGACGTTCCAAGACTTCCACCGTTCGTATTTTTTCAAACGAGTTCCGGGTTTTCCAGTAACTTTGGCCAAAGTTCGGCTAAAAAAACAGGGGGAGCCGTTGCGTTTCCGTAAAATACTGAACGGTAGAAGGATAGCCAAGGTCGAGAGCAAAACAACAAGCCATTATTTGTCAAAATCGAACAAGGAACGGCTCAGCGCATCTATTTTCCGTGCACGCGCGCGCGTACTTTGGCCGACAAGGTGTGGAGAATTTCTGAAGAAGAAGAATAACAAGAGCAGCAGCGCTCGGAACAGCCGTGCTGGATACTTCCAATCCCGACGATGGAGCGTGTTGGCTGTCGTGAGCTGCTGAAACGACCATGACATTTCTTTTTCTTTGTATACCCTACATATCTTGACGTGCCCTAGCTCAGTTTCGGCCTCTTTACAGGAAGAATATTTTCTTCCATGGCATCAGCGGCCAAACAGCAAGAAGAGCAACAGATCGAGATTTGCAGGGCAAACAAAGGATGCGTGCAGCTACATCTAGTCAGGTTCGATGCAGCTGCGCTTTGCCAGAACCTCAGCAGATAAGAAAAGACGACAGAGTGTCTCAAATGGAACTGGATCTTTCGCCAAGACCGCCACCGCCGCCATCATCAAGTCCAGGTCAGTCAGAAAAATGCAAAGCCCGAGTGAAGTGAAGCCACTGAATTGAAGCCAAGGAAAAATTCAAAAAGTACGCTCTCCGGCTAGACTTCGAGTCGATATTTTTTTACTTCGATAGGCGCTGTCGCGGCCTGTAGCGCGCGTCCATAATCCAAAATGGAGGCGCACGTGACGGGTGCTTTTAGTGGCAAGCCGTGAACCCTAAACTTTGTAAATTGTAGGACAAGACTAGTTTAATAGCTAGGTACTACATGTACTAGGTAGCGAGCGCGAGTCGACTAGTCGTAGATCTATGCGTAGACCCGGGTGCTCGAATCAGAAACGATTTGACAGGTGTGCAATTTCTCATCTGTAAATCTCAACAATGTCAGAATAATACTTTTGGAGAGGCGATGGAACAGGGAAGAGAGTCTGGCTTGACCCACCTAGCAGGAATTCAGAACCTTGGTGCGCTACAACACAAGCTACAGCACGCAGTAAAATAGTCGTATTTCCTTCGGATTTTTTACTTGAAAATTGGGTGCTCGAATCAGAAACACTTCAAACAGCAAACTCGTCAGATCGTCTCCGATTCAAGCACACGGGTCTACCATCGTCTACGCTTGGTATGGCAGTTGAGGGCAGGGAGTAGTAACTTACTACCGTATTATCTCTAATATAAGCACGGTCCTTTATTTTTTCAATGTACCTCCGCCCCGTGCTATTAATGGAGACGTTCCTTTATTGGAGACTGTTCCATTATTATTTCAACCTCATTTCAGAGGCATGTTGCCATGCCAAATTCATGTATGACACACACATTTCAGGGTTTTTTTCGCCGGTACAGATAATGAATTTACACAGTGTGCTTATAATGGAGACTGAGCACTTTATTTTTTGAATGCTGCCCCAAGGTGTTCTATTATTGGAGACGTGCTATTATTGGAGACTGTGCTTATATTAGAGATAATACGGTACTTCGTTTTTGAGAGCAAGATGGTCAGTGGAGCCGCAGATTCAGCAGGTCTTTGGCAGCACCGTACCGTGGACCCACATCCTCGAATCAAGGACCCAACAAAAAGTGGGTCGCGAGTATTTCAAAAACCGTTTACCGGGCAGCGCTGAAATTTGGCATACCGTTAGCGGGCCGTAAGTGTTAGTTGATGGTATTTGTGAAAACTAAACGAAATCGGAACACGTTTAGGCACAATTAATTTCAGGGTGTTTCTGTTTTGGTACCCGGCCTAGCCTAGCGCCTGTGTCTCATTCGAGCACCCGGGTCTACGCGGACGTGTCTGACACGTGAAACGAAAAGATTTTTTAAAGTGACACGCATGCGTGACACTGAATACACTGATACTGGATACAGAACAGACAGTCGTGTACGTAGTACAGCAGGCATGCAGCAGTGCAGTCCGCGATCCGGGAGTCGTGAAAGGGTTTTTATTTCAGGGTTTTCAGTTTTCACGACTCCCTGGTGCCGTTCCGGTAAATCAATATTTTTCTCGGCGCATTTTCTCTGTCGGATGGTTACTGGTGATTTGTTTCAGTCGTGTAGTTGTGTGCGGTGTTCTCCATTGTTCACTGTGGACAGAACAGTTCGTATCACTAGCCAGTGAAGCCGGCGTGGACTGAGGCCGTGGCGGAGTGGTTGGTTGTGACGCTGGGTTTTGCTGACGGCGCAATGCCGGACAGTGTGCGGTACAACATCAAGTACTTGGTATCAAATCTAGATGTGTCACTGATCTTGGAGGACCTGCTAGAGAACGATGTCCTCAGCGAAGAGGAATATGACACTGCCTCTGGCAAGGAAAATGAAAAGTTGGAGCTGGCAAAGTATGTGGTGAGGTTGATGCTGAAGAAAACGGAGGAACAGGTGGATTCGTTCCTGAAACTAGTTGAACACAGCCAACGTGATGTAGCGGAACATGTCGCCAGTACCATGGCGAAGCGCCGCGCCGCGAAGCCAATGTCGGCAGATCGTGAGTCAACACGTGGCTCGCCCTCCGGTAAGTTTTTACATAGAAGATGATCCATAATGGTTTACACACACGTAGAGGGGACGGCTCGATACCGGGACGTTTTGACAGCAAAATTTGTATAGACCCAAACCGATCATCAGCGTTGATTTTTCACTCGAAATATGTTTGTGGAAGGAAACTGGCATGTTGAAGTTTGCTCTGGGGCCAGAGTCAATCGAACTGACCCACTCCTTTGTGTTGACCCATTGCCTCCAAGTTGCCCAATTTTTCGCTTCAAAAAAGTTCAAATCAGAGGTGGCTCCAAACCGGACACGTTTTAGAGTGCACGTCAAATTCACTCTGGGTCTGAAATTAGGTAATTGCTATCGCTCCACGACGGCCAGTACAGAGTAACAATAAGCCTTGTGTGTGCTTCCATTAGTTTTGATTGGTATGCGGTGCTTTATTGGCGAGAGGCGAGCCGCTGTTTACCTGCGACAAGAAGTTGATTTTTCGAAAGTCGTAAAACTCAAGTCGCAGTGCGAAGCAACACGTCAAAAACTCACCTGCTTGATATGGCGCTTCTGGTCATCGCAGAGCCATGGAATTTTGGCTCGGAGTATAACACATCGTAGTCTCACTGTGACATAATATTATGTTTTCTAATCAAAATACCAAGAGAGAAAGTGAATATTGAGTCCGTTCCGGTTTGCAACCGGTGTCCTATTTGAAACCGTCCCCTCTACATGTAATGGCACACATTCTGCAGTAATCGACTTTCTCTCGCGCGGAGCTAAGCACAATGTGCGTCATCACTCCGTTGGTCGCTATGGCAACATGAATCATACAATTGGAAAGCTTGGTTTATCGTATGCAAGCGAGAGATATGCCATTCGAAGAAGTTGGTCGCTTGTTTGCTGAAAGTAGGAGCCCGAATGGCAGCACGAATAGGGGATACAAATCACAAACATTGGGGTCCGGCGATCCCCCCCCCCCCCCCCCCCCCCTCACTTTTGTTCTGGATAACCCTACTCTATGAACCTGTCAATGACTGGTGGGTAGTGCACAGCGGATAGTGGGTAGTGGGTAGTGCACCGCGGATAGTGGATAGTGGACAGTGGATAGTGGATAGTGGATAGTGGACAGCATGTGTATGTAATGCACAGTAAACTATTCAATTTGCAGTAGCACACTGTTTGGCGAGGAACACAAACCTAGTAAGTGCGGGATGCTGTGTCATCAGGTCACTCCACCTGTATACTCGCGAGAAGTTCATATGCACACGTGTGTATACATGTTCATGCGTTCACAGTACACAGTGCACAGCACTGGTACGGCGACTTGTGTGTATATATCACTACGGGATCATGTTTGATTGGGAATAGGAACCGTACACTGTTCAGCAAGCCTGCTCAGACCAAGACCATACAAGTTAGAGTACAAAACACTACAGGTTCTGAGATTTTATTCTGTTCACGAGCTTCTATAAATATGAAGAGGTGTTTTCTTTGGAAATATCCACACAAATCACTGTCTACTAATACAGGACTTTCCATTACATCACCTTTTTGGCGCCTTCCTGGTGTCCACCCAAAGATCACCCATAAGACAAGCCCGTGTCCTACGGTAAAATGTGCTTGGGTGGCAAAAAGAGAATCAAAATGTGTTGTTCGGTGTACGGTTCAAATGATGTTGCAAGGCCGTCGCAGTGATTGATTGATTGATTGATTTTTATTTACGGATTGTCCGTGGTGAAGCACTTTTGCTTTTCTTTGATATGGTGAATAGTTTCGGTAAGTCGCGAGGATTACTAGCCTCAGTTACTCTACTTTTTTTTCCAGCCTTGAAGAGGCGTTGCCGCGAGAAGATTGACAGAATCCGTGGGCCCAGTGCATTGATCCATATTTACCTATGGACGAAGACCTTTCAGCCAATCCCCCTGCGTTGGGTATTCAGGCCTCTCTAAATATTTAGTGAATGTCCCCAGCACATATTCAAAGGACTCTCTAAAGGCTTACAATAGCCCTGATGGATACAAATGCATGTGTCTCATTGCTGGCTGGGTTGGCACATTATCGTGTCTTGCCCAATCGAAGGAAGAAACAACAACTGTCAACAAAATTCGTTTGCAAACGTCAGGCACTCGCGGAGTGTTTTTGCCGAACCTGTCCATCCTTGGGTAGCTGCTGAATTGAAAGTTACCTGGAATTGTTCTTGGCGCACACTGCACTTGCATGGTGGGCCTGGGAGAAGCATGCTCCTATGTTGCTGCAGTGCAGTGTTGTTTTGACTGAATTCACGCTGGAGACTGAAATGTGATGTGTGCTGAATGTCAACACCTACACCACTGGGTCACCAGTGGCTGGCACCGTCAATGAACACTACACGTAAATAGTGTACATGGATTTTACTTCAGCTGGGCAGAAATTGGAGCACCGTGCCCATAACCTACAAGCAGTCTCACTTCTCTTTCGCTGCATCACTCTCTCTATCTCTCTCTCTCTCTCTCTCTCTCTCTCTCTCTCTCTCTCTCTCTCTCTCTCTCTCTCTCTCTCTCTCTCTCTCTCTCTCTCTCTCTCTCTCTCTCTCTCTCTCTCTCTCTCTCTCTCTCTCTCTCTCTCTCTCTCTCTCTCTCTCTCTCTCTCTCTCTCTCTCTCTCTCTCTCTCTCTCTCTCTCTCTCTCTCTCTCTCTCTCTCTCTCTCTCTCTCTCTCTCTGTCTCTCTTGCTTCGCATGCCTGTCAGTGTATCCATGTGTGTGTGTACGTGTGCGTGCGTGTGTGTGTGTGTGTGTGTGTGTGTGTGTGTGTGCGTGCGTGCGTGTGTGGGTTTTTCTTCCTTATCAGTACGAGTATGACAATGTTGACATGTGGTGGCTGGTAGCACGGAAGCTGACAAAGTCAAACACGGCCATCATCATCATTGCTCCTATGTAGCCAAAAAAGCTGGTGTAGTGGCGAACTTAGTTGTCCTGATCTTAAAACACGCTGATGAATGCACATCCAATACCGCAATTGTTTTTTCCTGGTCGTCCCTCGACCTGGCATTCTCCATAAGCAGTTGCTGATTACCGGTAGAGTGTCCTCCATTACCGCCTTTGCAAGAGTTACACAAGAAGTAAGATCAAGATGATCCTCACCACAAGAAGATCGAGAAGCTGAATACATGTACCTAATTGTCCAGAAAGACAGAAGATAAGGTATACTAGTATGTGCCGCAGCAGATGAAGAACTGCACAGCGCAGCAACCAAGTGGAAAGCAGAAGAAGATTGCGCAAGCAGGTCGATCAGAGTATTTATCCATGACAAAGGAAATACACATTGTGCAGAACATGAAGCATACACACTCGCATGGAAGAGATAATGAGTTGCACCCAGGGCCAGTACTAGACTATACGTCTATAGCTAGCACCACCAGTCATGTAGAGGCACGTGCATAATAGAGCTGGGTACATTAGTCATTACCATCAGCATCAGCATCAGCACTATCAATCATCAAACTCCAGCTATACCTTGCACCCCAACAAACTAAGGAAGTTGATAGTGTTCAGAATCATCTTCGTGTTTCCGCCTTTACTGGTGCTGCCACAAATGAGCTGAACAAGTTAGTTAGTTAATTCGATGCGTACTGGGGTGACAGGGATGATCATGACTTTTCTCTTCGCCAACGAAGTGATGGAACAATATGCGTGTACTTCGAAGTATTTGCATAAGGAGCGAAGTTCTCTAGTCGTGTGTCCGTCATCCACTGGTTCCGTCGTTCTCAATCGTAGGGAAAACGATAACAACTCAAAGACGATCCAGGTGTGGGAACATCCGATCGCAAGCAGCCCTTTGGTATTCTCAAACTACAGTATGCAAAATGGAACTGCTTTCGAAAAACACTGTTTCCTTCCAGTGCAGTCTTCTTTTTTTGCCACCCAAGCTCCGTTTCAAGTCCGGTGATCGGTGGTGAACTCGATGATCTTTGGCCCGAATCCTCATAGGCCGCACGGTATGACTCATTGGAAAGTCCTCCATAGGGTGTAGTGGAGAGCACTCTTCCAACATTGGGGAAAGTGCATCACAGTCACGGTGCAAGTTTAACTGGGAATATTGAACAGAGGTCAGTGTCCCCGGCCCGCAGACCAACAGCATTTGGCACAGTGACCAGAATACTTCACGTGGTAAACAGTTTGATTCCGGGCCGTACATCCTTTTTAAAGAAAGAGAGTTTCAAAAACCGCAATAGATTTTTGGTGGGCAGCTGATCGTTCCTAAGTGGGCTGCAAAAAGTAAATACAATTAAAAAAGCCAGTCAAAAAGCCAATGAGACAACTGAGACAAATTCTCAGATAGTGTATGAGAGATCTGTGGTAATGAAGAGTGCAGGCAACACATTGAAGAGCACCAGCAAGAGGTTGGCTTAGCCTAGTACATGTATAAGGTCACACGTTTTTACTTCTATGTTTCTCATCACCCGCGCGTATTCGATTCTCGTCACCCGCGCGCATACGATTCAGGAGTCTGGAAGAAAAAAAAGACTGTGCTGCACTGTGGGGACCAGCACATGCACATGTGCACCCTGGCCTGGCCTGCACGGCACATGATGCGAAGTCAACCGGTCGCTGCATGGAGTTTTTGTTGCGCAATCTAGCTGCACGTGCACAGAAGCTCCTAACATGTACTAGTTGCTAACTTACTTTGGATGCTATTTTACACGGTGTTTTGGTCGATGAGCAAAGGTCTAGTAAAAACAATTTGGGGGTAATTATTTTTTTCCACCTCTCGCATACGATTTTCGACTTTCGGGTGACGAGAAACATAGCAATAAAAACGTGTGGCCAAATGTTCAATAGGAAAGGAAAGAGAAGTGCACCAATGTTATGGAGATCGATGAGAAAGTTTGCTAGTGGCGTATGACCTCCAGGACCTATTCTCACCATCAGCTGGTAGCACCACCCGGCACCAGGTTTCCAGGGGTCTCACTGTCCCCTCGGCACAGTCAGAAGCCGACAGATCTCGCCTGGCCTTTCAGGCAGCCTTGGCCTGGAACGCACTCCCGAAGAGTGTAAGGGAGATCAAGGCTGCCCAGCAATTTAAGCTTGCCTCCATCCCCTACACCTTGCAATGAATGCTCTGTCTGACTTTTCCTGTCCACACACCACGTCATTTACTCTTCTCTGCGTGCTTGTGCACCTATGAACTCTTTGTGGTCCCTCTGTTGACGCTTCAAAATCGCTCTGTTGACACTGCAAAATCGCTTATCAGACTAAATTACATAGCAATTTGTTCTTCGCTACTACCCCCAACCACACGCTGATGCGCTCACCACCCTCCGATGCCCCTAACCTCACTGCTTCCCTCTCTGTGTCTCGCTATCTCTCTGCCCCCCCCCCTCTCTCTGCAGGGGCGTAGCACCCGATAATACGACTGGTACGACCATGGCCGTACCACTTTTCGAAAAGTGTGGTCCGTCCGAAACGTGCAAAACCGTAATAAAAAAAATCAGGATCCATCGATGCATATGCGCATCAGACTTTGACGTTTTTCTAGACTCGTACTCGTAGATCTGCCATGCATCTGCAGTCGTTCTGAGTAGACCTACTGTACTCGACTCGACTGTACAATGCGCCAGGAGTGTGCCAGAAGTAGGGGTGCGCGGATTATTCCCGGAATAATTTGGGAATACTATCGTTGAGAAAATTTTGGGAATTTTTGGGGAATTCTATCGATCTTTTGCGAGATCTATTGACCTTCAGAAAAGTTTTCGGGGAATTCTGTCAATTTTGACCTGCCAGAGGCCCAGAGAACAGAGAACAAGCGCGCATCCATGGACGCAGCCTGAGTACATAGTAGATCTACTAGTACTATAGCTGTGTAAAGACATAATAAGTCCTGTAGATCTAGTACCGGTACATGTAGTGAGATCCTGCATGCAGCGATCACGTGCCTGACCGTCCATTTTGCATACTAAAGAGCATGCGCAAGGCACGGTTCGTGCTGGGGTTCTTTTTTTGGGGGGGAATTCTGAAGAATTTTTCGATGTTTTGGGAGAATACTTTCGAAGTTCCTAGGGAAATGCCCGAAAGCATAATATCGGGTGCGTGCGAGCATAATCCGCGCACCCCTAACCAGAAGTTCCCAGAACGCAGGATTTGGTGTCTTTTTTACAAAATTTTCCCGGGGGAGGTCCCCCTAACCCCCCTCCAACATGGCCTTTGGCCGCACCGACCGTCGGTCGTACCACTTCCAAAACCCCTCCTACGCCCCTGCTCTGTCTCTATCTGTCTTCTCTCTTGTCTCTCTCCATCTTCCTCTCTCATCTCTCTCTCTCTCTCTTCTCTCTATTCTCTCTCTCTCTCTATCTATCTATCTCTCTCTGCGTGTCTGGCTGGCTGGCTGGCTGGCTGGCTGGCTGGCTGGCTGGCTGGCTGGCTGGCTGGCTGGCTGGCTGGCTGGCTGGCTGGCTGGCTGGCTGGCTGGCTGGCTGGCTGGCTGGCTGGCTGGCTGGCTGTCCTTCTCTCCCTGTCTCTCTCTGTATCTCTGTCTCTCTCTCTCTCTCTCTCTCTCTCTCCTCTCCTCTCTCTCTCTCTCTCTCTCTCTCTCTCTCTCTCTCTCTCTCTCTGTCTCTCTCTCTCTCTCTCTCTCTCTCTCTCTCTCTCTCTCTCTCTCTCTCTCTCTCTCTCTCTCTCTCTCTCTCTCTCTCTCTCTCTCTCTCTCTCTCTCTCTCTCTCTCTCTCTCTCTCTCTCTCTCTCTCTCTCTCTCTCTCTCTCCCTCTCTCTATCTCTCTCTCTCTCTCTCCCCCACTCTCTCTGTATCTCTCTCTCTCTGTATCTCTCTCTCTATCTCTCTCTCTCTCTCTCTCTCTCTCTCTCTCTCTCTCTCTCTCTCCCCCCGTAGCTCTCTCCCCGTAGCTCTCTCCCCTTTGAAATTCGCTTCCATAGAATTGGGCACCATTGCCCGTTTGGCCTTGCGAAGTAAAATTAAAATCAACAACAACAACTTACTTGTTGGCAGTGAGAAGTGCTTACAGAGATCAATCAGTTTATGCATTCACATCAATTGTATTGAGAGCTGACCCTGGGAATGCAGTGGGTTCAGTTAGATGGACAGTCCTGAGGTTATAACCAGATCTACATGACGATTCTGTACATCTACAAGAAATGCAGGTGCCACCGGCGTGAAGCACGGTCATGGGTCACTAGATTATTGCTAGGGAGTTCAGTTCCAGCCTGGGTCAGGTGAAAACTGCAGTCACAACTCGCGTGTACATTTTAACCCTTTGTGTACGGACTCTACAACTTTTGATCCCCTACAGTCCATTCATAAAAAGATGAGTCCTGGCTCTGGCGAGCTCCCGTATTTGGCGATTTTTCGTGATTTCATCGTACACAGTGCAGTGCTGCGAACTTTGAAATTTGAAAAAGGGTCCAAAAAGGGTGCCTGAACTGCAGGCGGGGTCAAACGGCCTGGATTTTGATGGTTTTTCCCAATTCAGTGCTTTTGGGGCAAAACCTGGCCGAAATCCTATTCTTGCTATGGCTTGCTTTTTGGACAAAAAAACTTCAGAAACATAATTGGAAGAGGATTCCATATGGGATTGCAGAAAAAAATTATAAAAAAACTCAACGTTTGACCCATTTATGGCCAAAAGCTAGAAGTTCATTTTTTTCTGAATGGACTGTAGGATCGAAACTTTTCAAGATTTCAATTGATCGTAACTCAGTCATTTCTGGGTTATTTTCAAACACTAAGATATGTAGGTCAAAAAGAAAACTCCCAGCTGTCCATTGAAACAATCGCTGAAGCGCTCTGATGTGCAGTTCTGGGAATGTGTGTGTGTGTGTGCATGTGTGTGTATGTGCGCGCACGTGAGTGCGTGAGTGTGTGTGTGTCCATTGTTCTTATCACCTGACGATGGCCAAGTGGCGAAACGTTGTAAAATAGCGGAACTTGTTCTGATGTGAAGCGCTATTGGAATGGGTGTGTCCACTCGAATTCCTTTCCATGTATTATCGGTGTTGTGCAATTCCATTTTTATTTGTCTCTTGACATGCAGTTGTGTGCAGTTGTGTGTTCATGTGTCATCTGCGCCTTCTGTATTTTGCTGCTTTTGCAACAGACAATCCGTTTGACCTGGAAAGGTTTGTGTGTGACATTCAACCATGGTTGAACAAAGTTGACGCAGATCTACTGCGACGGATGGTGATCAAGAAACATCTCATAACTAACAGCACATCAATAGAGGGACTGAAGAGAATTCTGTCCCGGGATGGACCATCTGATCATAATGAGAAGCTCATCCAGTTGCTCAAAGCTGGTGGCCTAAACACGTATCGTGATCTC